CACTCCCTCCCTTCCTCCCTCCCTCCCACAGCTTCCAGCTGTGCACGCATACGTTGATATCTGCATTGTGCAGTCTACTCCCACGGCGATACCAGTTCTTCGTCACCAGGATGTGCGCTGGGCAGGATGCTGGACGTGCCATGGCTCAATCCTCTGTGGAAAGCTGATTCAATGACTGCTACTCTAATGTTGTGCGCTTGGAATGTTTCAGAAGAACATGGAGCAGTGCGGTACGTTTAGCTACCTGCAGATACCTGCAGTGGACAACGACACCCTGGCCTCCCCCCATGCGAGGCAGAACCCAGAACTTGATGTCAACAGCACCTTGGAAGAGTCCACTCCAAGCCGAGGCATCTTGACATTTGACTCATTCCCCCTTCCGCTGCGCTCCAAGATGCGATGAGTCCGTGGCGACAGTTCCAGCTTGGTGCTGGCATCCACCTGCATTCACACAGGTGCAGCATAAGACTGAATGAGGCAATTCTACAACATGCCACAGGCGGGATTCGGAGCGAACCGGATCAACAACCCCATATAACACACCATGGCGCACCTTGCTACCGTGACCACATGCGTCTACAAGCGCGTTTTGTGCCGCCCAGTTCAGTTTGCCTCAGCTTCGTTCAAGGAGCTTCAACACACTGAGAGAACCATGACCTCCCATCTGTATTCACGGCTAGCAGCTTACGATCTCCGGCGTGATGGTGCCATTCAGGCTGATGGTTCCCTCCACGACCTCTCGAATGACTCAGGGCTGGCGGCAGGGAATAAACACAGGTCGCCCTTTCAAACCAGCCGAAGTCCGTCAGCGATAATCATGCTGTTTCGCATGTTCGACACACTCATAGCTCGTGCTGCACTCGATGACCTGTTCATCCGAGGCGACTCTGTTGCCCACTGAACCTGCGACGCACAAGGTCAGCTTCGGATGGCACGCTTCATGATTCATGGAGGATGAGCTCAGGAAACACAGCCTGCAAAGTCCAGCCGCTCTTCACCCGACACCTTGACAGTACAACATGCAGGACGAACCGTGGCAACATGCATGGACTGAGACTCTGATGCCTATTTTGGGATTCCTCCCGGGAACTGCCAAGCCTCGGTTGCTCTGAGTGTGAGCGCGGCGAGCAAAAGAAGCACAGGCATTGCATGGGCCGGCCGTCGGCCGTCGCGGGACCCGCTTTCAGCTGCTTCGGAGTTGGTAAATTGGCATTGGGCTTCCCTTGTGTCAAGTTGAAACAAACCATGTGGGGCTGTGTCTGTCGAGGGTGGGGGGGTTCCCACCCCACCCTTCCCACATCTAAGCCGCTGTACTCATCGAGAAAGCACGCAGATCTATTCAGCACGAGTTGGAATGCCTGAAAGCAGCCTGATCTGAAAGCACTCTCGCGCCTCGCCCCCGGCACGCTTCGGCACACGGCGAAGGCACATTGCTCACGCGTCCCGGTGAGAGTCCGGCGAGCGGCTTTGGCTGCCAAACCCTGAGGAATGGTGACACGGACCTGAGACCTGATCGAAGACGATCGCCTAGAAGACGGCCTGGCTAAGGAAGCCTGCTTCACGCTGAAGCTTTCGCCGCTCCCTCAGGTGCGGCAGCAGCATTGCAATCGCCACCTCGGTTGCGGGGTTTTCCACGTGGTCGTGGAAAAGAGATGACTATTCCACCCCGTCGTGCTATATACATCCTGGCAGCATCTTCTGTGTTGTCCATGATGTCCAGGGTCACTTGCAAGTGCATTTTAGATGTGTCCCATCACTCACGACGCAACTCTGGAGCAAAGAGGACTGTGCCCCAAGAAGCTTACTCAAAAGCGAGTTGGTCAGGGTCAAGGATCTTGAGGAATTGCTTTGACGTTTTGGCTATACTTGGCTTCTAATGTGTAATGCAGCAACTGTTGCTCTGGTGCGTCTTCGTTCACATAAAGGAAGTGAATGGTTTTGGGTGTCCCTCGTGTGATCACCTAGGCCCATATGGGGCTTTGGCAGCTGCTCCTTGGCTGCATGGCTCGTCGGCCTTTGGCCCCCCTCAGGAAATCCTCACGGCGAGACACCGGTGCTCCCTTCGGTCGGGTCATGACGACACAGAGGACAAGGCAAAAGAAAGAGGTGCAACACTTTGCTGCTTTGTGGAATCGGAGACGGACAATCTTGACACCATTGAGTGCTGCAGTGGTAACCGCAACGGATATCAACACCTGCATCACCAATGCAACGTAATGACATAAGCCTCATAAGCCCCTGACCAGGGAAGGAGGGCAAACGGCAGCCGCCGGTGGCCCGGGAGCAGCAGGTGCCGCAGCGTGGCCGTGACCGTGACCGTAATCGTAACCACCGTAGTCATAACCCTGGTAGTAGTGAGCATCCTCAGCACGCAGCACCAATCGATCAAGCTCGAAAGCCACTGCCTGCACCAGCCGAGGTTCAGGGGCGGGATATCCTCCGTGGTCGTCGTACTCGTCACCCTTGTTAGGTGCCGGCTCTTAGCAACGCTCTCATTCTGTTGCCCTTCTCTTGAGCATCAGGCCGGCCACTCTGATCTTATCTTCTTCGCCTGCAACAAATCGCGACAGCACGGTCGACAATACCAAACATGTTCAAGTCTTGATGCCCGCCTCCTCCTCGACGTTAATGTCAGCACCACCTTCTGCATCCTGGCCATGTGCAACGAGCCATCCATGCCATTGACCAGCAACAGCTTGCAACGACCAGGCATCCTGTTGAGCGTCACCTCTGAAACCTTGCCCCCTAACAGACTAGCAAGCTGCCTGCACCACCCGTCACAAAGCACCTAGAAACACCTTCCAAGTTAGTGTGGAGACCATGCCCTCACTGCGGAGGCGCCTCGTTCTCCAGGCGGGCTATCTCGGCAGCCGTCTTCGCCTTCTACATCAGCAACCAAGGCCCCATGAGACCCCTTGGCTTGTACTTTAAAATCCAAGATTTCAAGAACGCCTAACCTCACACCTCCAGATTCAAGAGCCCTTTTCTCAAGCTCATCGCAACAGCGTTGACAGTTGAGGACACACCTGCTCCAGCTTGTTGATCTCCACCTACAGTGCTGGCTCACAGAAAAGCCAGCTCGGTCGCTTCGCTCGGCTGCGCCCTCTGTCGCCCATGACTTCCAAATTCGACGCCTCCCTGGCCCTGCAAATCTCCCTCATCTCATCCTCGGGCTCCGGGAGGTCCCTGGGCACAAGTTGCCAGCTCACGCCTCTCTCGTTCCAAGCTCTCGGCGCTGCACGAGCTGACTTGACGCACAAGACGCACAGGCGACTCCCAGGGCCAAGGCGTTCCCTCATCGTAAAGTGGCAGCTTGGCCTCGTCGGAGAGCGCGTGCGCAGCCCGAGATTGTCAGGGCCACACAGATCGCGGAGAGAGGTGCACAAGACCCTGAGAATGCTTCTAAGGCGGAAGAAAGCCGAGAAATGTGGCAGCCCGGAAAACCCCGAAAGCAGCTTGTGAAAGAATCTTGACTCCGTCCAGCCTGAAGGGTCTTTGACAGGATGTTGACTTTGTTGATCAGCTGCCTCAAGTGTCGACACCAGTGACACATGTCACATGCTGATGCTCAGCACCCGAAGTCTTCATGCGCAGTGTTGAACCAGTGAAACCTTTTTGTTTCTGATTATGTCGCACACCATTTGAGCATGCTGTGCCTGGTCTTTTCCTTCGCCAAAATGTTTTGTCCTTCGTTGTTGACCTCATCGCAATCGCTTCACAACTCACAGACGTGCGTTTGCAACACAATTTCTGCAGCTTGAAATCCGCACTCCCTGACAGGGAAAGAAGGCTTGCAAGATGACGAATGCGAAGATTAACCTGGAGACACTGACACTACCGTCTGGAAAGTCTGCAGCGCTATGGCGCTATGCTCGGCAATCAAAACCCTGAAACCTTACACCACTCCTGAGCTCGCCTGAGCTCGGGTGAGCTCGATGAGGCCGCGACTAGCAGCAGAGGTGGGCCTTCTCCATAGCCGGCCTCCGGTTCTTCGGAGATCGGCTCTTCCGGGGCACCCTCTTCTTCGTACATAGCCTCCGGATCTATGTCCACCTGCGGAGGGGACATTCATGCTTGCGAAGCGCGAGAGAACACCCCTTCGCAGACACGGGCCTCGTCAACGGGCTCCTCCGGCGGAGGTAAGCCAGCCCCTGCCTCCACCATATTCAGCCCTTCCCCTGCACCTGCGCAGTCACTTGCGCTCAAGCTGTCGGACGTTCAGCGATCGGGCCTTCGTCGAAATCGTCCGGCATAGGTTGGCCCTTCGGTGGAGGCATGCCATTGGGACCACCATAGGGATCTCCATACGGATCCCTATAAGGATCCCGGTAGGACTCGGCATAGGGATCCGGGCCGGGAGGACCTCCACTTGGCGAGCCGCCACCATAGCCATAGCCACCAGCTCCCCCATACCCGCCGGCGCCATGTCCGCCCGCATATCCTCCACCTCCATAGCCGCCACCGCCATATCCGCCTCCCTGTCCACCCCCGCCATACCCGCTTCCATAGCCACCCCCGCCATACCCGCCTCCCTGTCCACCCCCACCATACCCGCTTCCACCCCCGCCATATCCGCCATGGTACCCGCTGCTGCTGGCATATCCACTGGATGCACTCCCGCCCGCACCGTACCCACTGTAGCCTCCTGGAGGTGGTGGGCCGGCGCCACTGAAGCTGCTCCTGGAAGCCGTGCGATTCTTAATTAGACGACAGTTGGCTGACATTAACGACGGGCTCGGCGTCCAGTTCCGGAAGGCAGCCCCACGAGTAGAAACCCGTTGGCTGCCGTGAGGATCCGAAAGAAAGGAGATCAGCAGCTGAGAAGCCTTGCCACGCAACGCTCCAAGCAAGTCCAGTGCAGGAGTCATCACATGACCAACGAACAACTTGCCTTCGCCATCGTGATGACTGACCCTGGCTTGCTTTGTTTGGCCTACTCTAAGTAGGACAATTGCTATTGACCAGCCTGAGCTTTGGATGCTTTGGCCGACAGATATACTGCAAACTTGAGCTGTCACGGCTCTTAGAGGTTAGCGCAACACCTGTAGCTGAGCAGCAGAGCTCATGTTAACCAAGCTCGACCTACAAAGAAGGCGGCAAAGCACCAACCTATTCATCGACTCATTTGTGGCACGCACTGCGTAGGTGAAACAATGGTCTCGCGAAGTGAAACGGCGCACGGATTGGCTCCGTGCACGAACTGCGTCTCGCGGCAGGCTACACTTAGCCTCATCGTGCTGAGGCTCTTCGCTCAGATGCTAGATGTGTCTCGCTGGTGAGGCTTCACTTCCCTCTCATCGGCGCAAGATGAGGACCATCATGACCAGGGCGCCGACCTGGCAAGACAGCAGGCCTTCTCTCGAAGTGCTTCGACTTCGGAGCAGTTGCCAAGGTGCGGACAACACTACCACCAGCGATGTATTCCCCTCGCTTCAGCACCGTCCGATCCTCTTTCCGGTTCGGATCATGTGTCACAGCCACCTGCAAGAAAGCCGTGCAGACTCGGAAGTTGTTGCGAGACTGGGGTCCTGGCATAAACGGAGACGAGACTTCCCCCAAAGCACAGGAGAGCCCCGGCCACCAAGAACACCCTGGCCTCGACCGAAACAAGGCATCGCTCGCATGCACGGACTCCACCCTTCCAGTCTAGGCTAGTCTAAGCAACGCACGTCCGCCATCAGGGGCTCCATCTCCCAATCCTGCTTCGACGGCGGCAACAGGCATCGTTATCCCTCTCGCTTTCAGGTTTACTTCCCAGCCTCCCTTTCCGGAATTTGGCGCTTGCCTGAGGGTGTTGATCTTTCCTTCTTCCACTTCAGGAAGCTAAGGAAGACTTGCCTTGATCTTGCCCCTCGCTGGGTATGCAAGGCAGCCGCGATGGTAAAGATTTTTCCTCAAGCCCAGATCGTGCGATGCCACGGCACAGGCATTTAGGCCACACTTCTTCTCACTCTGGCCAAGCATCTCTCTGCCCGGACGCGAATCGAGCTTGGCTGGGCAAGCTCGCAACAAAGGTCATAGCGCAGGGTCCACCCGGAACGCAGGCTCGATCGAGGACGGGCAGCGTCCTGGCAGACTGCATCAGAAACTGGAAAACTGCAGAGGATCCAACAATACCGCGGTCCTTGCCATGGGTCCGAGCCCAAGCCTCCTCTGGCCCGCCTCGGATGGGACAAGAACAAGGGCCAAAGTCTTAAATAAAGTTTGTGACCTTGCGGAAGGCAAATTTCAGGCTGCAACCAGCCGCCACATGGTCGGCCACGACCGCAGGCAGCGACCGCCGGCAGCTCAAATGAGCCAAGAGCTAACTGATGAGGAGATAGATTTCATCGAGCGGTGGCTCAAGCCGGCTTTTGGACATCTCCAAATCAGGTTTAGCACCAGAGGAACCACTCTGTCTGACTAGTCCCTACAGGAAGGAAAATCTACAGTAGCAGAATCTGGCAGGCACAATGCGACAAAGGGAGTCCCAACTCCCGAAGAGGTCCGTTCGCCAGAGCCATCTCAAAAGGGCTAGTTTCCTTGCTGTATAACCTAAGAAGATCATCCAAATCCTAAGGTCCGAAGGGCTCCGCTAAGTGACTTCAGGCTTGCACCCAGATGGGTCCAGATCCTGCTCCATGCTGCGAGGGTGTGCCTTGTACTCGGTCATCAGGCCTTTCCACTTATGGCCGAGACTGTCCAAGGGAAAGAAGCTCATGTACACTCATGTCAGCATCTAGGGCCAGGGTGTCCGCAAGGAGATATATAATGCAATAAACAGGGACAGGAAACTCGAGAAGCAATGTCCGCAGAGCTTTTTCGCGTGCTTCTGGTCTGACAACTCCTGGCAACAGAACACCAGAAAAGGCTATTCCTCATCCTTGGCATCCCAATCAACAGGTGTTGCATCGTAAAGCGAGGTGTAAACAGCCCATCCCACAACATACAGGGCAATTGATGGTAGGAAAATGGCTTGTGACCAGGATCCCGTGGCTTTCAGCATGTAGCCAGCATAGGCATTTGAGCACACTCCAGCCAGTGCGCCGAAAGTGGTTGAAATGGCATTTACGAGAGCACTGTACTTGGCACTCAGGTCAGCATGGCTGGAGTAGAGCCCAGCGTACGAGCAGGCGCCAGAAGCGATGCCGAAGGTGAGCAACACGATAGGCATCAGCGACCCGGGTTCCACATTTCCCGCTGTTGCAGTGGTGGCGAGCAGTCCCAACATAAGGCTAGGAATAAAAAAGCCAACACTTTGGAAAAGCTTCCGCACAGAAGTGAGGTCCATGCCATTCCCGTGGAGATTGTCAGCGAGAATCCCACTACCTGCTGCCACTGCAACAGCACACACACTGGGAATGACAGTGAGCTCGCTACTGCCTTCCAAGTTGTATCCCAGAGCTTGGTTCAAATAGGTCGGGGTCCATGTCAGCAAAGCATAGCCTCCCCAGTCATGGCAGAAATGTGCCACGACTACCCCCCACAGCTGTGGCGTGCTCAAAATGGACAACCAAGGAATGGGCTCGTCGCCGTCAACGGTCGCACTTCCATCGCGGTCCTGGCCCTTGATCAGCCAAACACCTGCCCAAAGTAGGCCAAGAAATCCAAAGGAGTAAAACATGGCCTGCCAGCCAAAGCTGTTGATGACGACGGGGGCCAACAACAAGCCGGCAATCGACCCACTAGTCTTTCCACCGCCCAAGGTAGAAACCGCCCGGCTGCGCTCGGATTCGGGAACCCAGGTGGCGACCATCCGCAGCCCAGCAGCAGGGGCAAGGCCTTCGCCGATCCCGACAAGGACGCGGCTCGCGATGAACACCTGCCGGCATCGTATATGCTCCAACATATACAGGATTCGGCAAATTGTCCACCTGTGTGGAGACAGTGGCGGCCAAAGGTGCCAGCATCGTCGCGCAGGACCAAAGGGTCACCGCAAAAAGGAGGACACGCTTCCCGCCTGAGAGCAATGCATCTGTGGAATGCCCGACATGGCCAACGTCCATGGCAACAGTCACTTGGGCTCAGACCAAAGCGTGTTGCGAGGAAGCCACCAATGATCTGTGTTGCGGAATAGCCCCAAAAGATGGAGCTCTGTATCACACCTGGGAAACCAGAGGGACTGCGAGCCAAAAACTGTTTGCTCTGCAAGGCGGCCTTCATCAGCAGAATCCCAGCCCATCTGCTCTGCCATGGGCAAAATGGCCACGGACATGTTCACCTTGTCCATCTGCCAAATCACATACCTCTGCAAATACAGGCTGCATCGGCATCAATTCGGCAAGAAATGGTCTGCCAGGGTGCGCTGCGGCCACGAGCAGGACCTTGGATTTGCGAGGAGTTTGCGCTGGAGCGAACCTTGACTCGCAGCCCAGATATGGCGATGTTGCAGCAAAAAACTTGCAATCGTCACGGGAGGTCGCCGATGTTGCTGCTAGAAAAGAACGTCTCTACTGAGTTTGTGCTGCTTGCGGGCAGCAGACGATTAAGTTGCGCTCGTTTGGTTCATCTGGAGGCTCCCTCGACTCGTCTTCGATGGCTGGAGGCTTCACCACCGTCTCGACGGCTGTGGCTGCAGTCCAGACCTTCCAACTTCCAACACTCGGCGAATTGGTGCCCTAGCCCGTCACCGGCATTGCAACAGTACTGCAATCGAAAGACACGTCGGAACCGCGGGGTCTTGTTGCGGCAACGTCTTGCAGCCCTGCATGCCGCCATCCCAACGCTCATGCCCAGGGCACCTGGAAAGCGACAACAATTCTCAAACCTGGCCTGGTAAGGTCGCGAAGCTAACAAGAGAGTGGTTGCAAATTGGCCTGCATGCTGGAAGTCGCTGCTCCTGGAAGCGGCACTGTCAGCCGCCTTGGCCTTGGCTACAAGTTCCCCAACAGAGCGGCTTGCGAACGGCGGCCGAGACCGCCACCACCCGGCCGACTGCTCGAAGCGCACCGTGGGGTGGCCGAGCTCCAGGGCCCGGAGAAAGCAACATGCTGAGTTGGGGCACGCTACGTTAATCTAACGAGTCAAATACCGAATCTCAGCTACACCGTACCCAGATGGCTTCCTGTTCCTCAAATCTGCAATTGACCACTATGCTCGCGGTGAGATGACACGCCTCTTTGGTTGTACACTTGGTTTCCGTGCTTCCGAATGGGAAGCATGAGCACTGAAAGAGCTGCAGTGGGGACAGATGCATTCGAAGCGAGGCTGGTTTCAAGGAGTTGTAGTGGGAGTTACAGAACATGTCGTGGTCCAAAACTCCGAAAACGAATCCAGGGAGACTTAGCGAAGGCTCCAGCAGCAGGACACGACGATCATGCGGCACATCACTGTCGGCCCCGCCATACTTTCGGCAGGAGGCGCCCCGAGTTGGCAGCTTCACGTGACATGACACAGCGAACTTTAAACCGGAGCACAAATGCCCGCATAGTCCGAGATGAATGCAGCATTCCCACAGCAAATGGCCTGATTACGATCTGTGCAGCTTGACATGTCTCTCTGGCATCTCCCCACTGCTGGCCGATTTTCGCTCTGCTACTCCGCAGTCGGTGGCTGAAGGCCTTTGGCACGCTTCTTCGGCGGCTCCTCCACACCCTGGCAGGTCCTTTCGTCTTCAGTATTTACAGAGGATCCTGATGCCTCCACCTTGTTGCGCAACTGCTCACGGGTCCTCAGACACAAGACAGGAGACAGCATCTCTCTCACAAGTTGCCCATTTGCTCGCTCGCGGGTCCTCATCAGGGCCTCACCTCGGAGGAGCACACCGCTGAGCTAGCAGCTAGAGCCATCGCTCAATGCAGTTTCCGCGAACCCTGCCTAGGATGTTCTTCCCCTGCCAGAGAGCTGGGTCTTGCACCCTCTCGTCCTGCTCCGATCGCTGCAAGGAGACAACACAATCAGCGGACAAGCTCTCTAGGATGCGATGTGAGTGAAAGACAGCACCTCCAACGAAATGCTCAGGACACGACCCCAACATTGAGACCGATGCCCCAAATCTTATCTTTCGCCGTAGCTTCCGCGATCACCACATCGCCCGTGTCCAAGAGCTTCTGGCGACGAGTGCTGTCGCAGTAAGATTCACGGCTAGATCTCATCGCATGAAGTTGCCGAATGAACCAGAAATCGAATTGCTTACCACACTGGTCTCGTGGCTCGTGATTCGCACCCCGGAACACTTGGATTCATACATTCGCATGAGGGGCTATGGCTCTGGATTCGCGCACCAAGCATTCTCGCAATGCGGCGGGGGATTCGCGCACGGACGATGCGCTCTGGCGCTAACATGTTCGATGATGTAGGGCTTTACGCCCTTGAAACACAGCAGATTCGGGCACTACAAGGATCCGCAGGTTGACCGCAGCGGAATTCTTCACCCAAACGATGCGCACGCACAAGCGCGGCAGCTTCGCACACGAACGATTGTTGCAAGGAAGTGGGGATTTGCACGCGGTGGGCTCGCACGTTTCGCCGGGGACTCAGGGATTCAAGCTACAAAGGCTTCAAGGTTAAGTAAGGGCACGAGTGAGCAAATGAACGACGGGGAAAAGCAACGACACCTACCCGACCTACCCCTAACCCGACGAGGTGGACGAAGTGCTTTGGTATGGGGCTGCTGTCAACCATATAGTATGCTTCGAACTGCTCAGTGTGGGATGAAAATCACGATGCTGAGGGTTTTGATAAAGAAGATTGGTGGAAACCCACGGAGAGCTGTCGTTGGGAAAACATGATGATCTGCAGGCGACTGAACCGCTCTTGGATCAGGGTTTGGGGATCCAACCGTAGTGGTAGCAGGGAGGAGTAGTAGTAGTAGTAGTAGTAGTAGTAGTAGTGGTAGTAGTAGTAGTAGTAGTAGTTAGTGGTTGTTGTTGTTGTCGAGTGTCTGCTAAGTCCAGCGCCCGCCACGCGCAGAGCACGCTCGCGCTATGTTCAATTGAAAACATGTTGTTGTGGTTGTTCTTGCTGCAGTTGTAGTAGCAGCAGCAGCTGCTAGCCGTGGCAGTAGCAGTAGCAGTAGCAGCGAAAGGCCCGAGCGGCAAAGAGCACGGTGTGGGGAAGAAACAGAACAAGCACACTTCAAACAAGACGATTCAACCCTGTAAGATTTGGGTCGGACCCGGAGACAAGCTGTCAGGTAGCAGGACTTCGTTGTCACACTTCTGGGCAGCGGGAGCGAAAAACCCGGCCAAGAAAGGAGTGCCGGAGAACGGTGCAGCTTTAACCGCATATAGGTCCTGGAATCACTGGTGCTCGAATCGCCCTTGCTTGCACCGGCCAGGTGCCCGAATAGCTAAGGCCTAATCGCGCGTGCTCGAATCGCATATGCTTGAGACGTAGCGCTCCAACTGTGGCAGTGCTCGAATCGCGGCTCATTTTCGAAGATGCAAGAATAGAAAAAATTAATCGACATACAGTGACATACAGGCACCCCAAGCAGTCCTTCTTGAGCTCCTCGCTGGAAGCAAACTTTTGCAAGCATGCCTCCAAAGCCACCTCACCGCTTCGTGCACCCAGGAGTTTTAGAATATGACTGTCCGGAATCACTGAAAGCAAAGTGAACATGCACAGCTCTCCGATCTCACACACTACATGATTGCCTGGTTACCTGGTACAGTTTCCGAGGGCTCCAGGCTCCCACCTCGCGGACGTGCTCATTCCACTTGACAGCGTCGAAAGGCGCAACTTTGCGGCCAAGTGCCTCCAGAAACACATGCTCGTGACTTTGAACTAGTGGACCGCCTGTCCCCAGTGACGGCATTAATTTCTTTCATGTTATACATATCCAGTCTACCAGCTTACGGATGGCCTTGGCTTCTGCAGGTTTGTTGCAGGCCCTGGCAAATTTTCAACAAGAGCAAAGAGAACAAATAACTGCCATGTTCCATATCTCGGGAAACAATCTCAGAAAAATTGCCAACCATGGCCCAAGCACTTTATCTTGTCAAAGCTTGCCTTGTCGTTCATCAGAGCTGCCTTTCGGATGTCAACAAGATGACAAGCGCGGTGAACAGAAGCAGCAGGATGCAACATGCAGCTTCCATGAGCACGGGCATGTCAGACCCATGTCAAAAGATTGCGGGGGTCCCGACATCATGGAAAATAAACGGCGCCTTCATCAACATGATCGCTTTCTCCGAAAAACGGCAGGAGACCTCGCTCTGTGACTTACATCGTTCGGACTCGGCATGAAATCGCACTGGAAAACAATGATGAACATCATTGTAACAAAGCTGTGCAGTTGTTGTGAACCTGCAAACGAATGCCATGCTCCAGACAACTTCGTCCCAGCCATCATGTCGCGCAAATAATGGCAAACGAAAACCTGTCATCAAGATTTTGCAACAACGCTCTTCTATGCCGGCTGTCATTGAGCCCATCACGGAAAGCAGGGGATTCGAAGAAATTGCTGAACTCCCGGTACCTGAGCCGACGGTCCAAAGCTATACAGGGTACACAACACTCAAACTTCGAGGCCGTCTCAATGAGGCGGGTCCATGTCCGTAGAATCCAAGAACCTGTTGTTTCCACATGCACCGTTCAACATTTCTGACACAGAACACAATCTGCCCACCAATGCCATAATTTCATGCGACATGAACCGCCTTCAGGTCAGGTTTTGAAGATTCCGCCATTCTCACCGCATGTAAGCGCTGATAAGTGTGTGGCTGAGATGCTGTTCAGGCAATATGCAGCTGTGTACTGCACCCATAGTTGCCATGGTGGCATCACCCACCACGTACTGATGCACATTTGTAGCATTGCACATGAGGACATGCTCTTGAAAGGCAGGAAACTCTTCAATATTGCGATGATCACACAAACCATGACTGAAACTGACAAAAGGAAAACGATATGATGTTTACCAGGTCGATTCCAAATCGATTGCCTTTGGCTTCCGTGAACGAAGGGACTGATGCTTGACATGTTTTTTGGGATTGTCAATCTATATGAGGATGCTTTCTGTATTCAAGCTTGTCAGTTCGCATGACACTTTTGTTTTTTGCCCTCAACTGGCTGCATGCTATTTGGTGATGCTCCGCCAAGCCGACCTTGTTGCCATCGTGAAAACCAATTGAAGATTTGAAGTGGGAAGTGCAAACTTTCTGAAACACGCAGTCGCTTCTTGCAAGCGAAAACAAAATCATCGAGAAAACGCATTGTCGTTGGTGTAAGATTTACTTGAACTTTCTTGTCGGTAAATATATTTATGAAGACGAACGCCGCTCAGCTTTCGCAGTGCCTGCAGCGTGCTGCGATTGCTCCATTGGGCATTTTGCTCAAGTTAGTTGCGTGTGTTTTGGTGTTGCAACCCAACAAATGATGTCATTGCGTTGCACCTTTCTGATGCTGCAAAGTTGCCAAATCCGGTCGAGCCTTTGGTCCAAACTAGATCACAAAAGAAGCTGTATCGGCGCATCGGTATTGAAGCAAAGAAAACTTAAGAAGCGACAGGGTGGGAAGGGAAAAGTTTCCTTAAACCCAACCCCGAAAGCTCTGGTCTCGTAGCAACACTGCAATAGCATCTTGACTTTTCTTTGCTGAAGAAACGAGAATCTTTTGAGTTGCACAAGTTGTAGAACGGCTGCTAGAGAACTGGATTGCAAGAACTTGCAAACAGTGCAGACACTTGCTCAAAAGTTTCAAATTGAGACAAAGTTTGCGGAAAAGTGGCTGGGCTGAAATCGAGTATGCATGCAAAATTGAAGCAAGACCTGGACTTTAAAAACAAGGAAAATCGAAACTAAAGGGCCATTATGCAATGATAAGAATTAGCAAGTGGCACGCAAAATAAAGGTAAGGTTCTGCCGCTGTGTCCTTTCTTGTTGAATTGTATGCACAAGAAGATTTGTCTTTGCATTGGTCAGTGGAAACGTTGCTTGCGGATGTGGCGTATTGCGCCGGCTTTTGGCCAATGTACAAGTGTCTTAGTTGGATGGATGTTTGAATTCAGTGTCAGCTCGATTTGTGTGCACAAGCTTCACCATGGCTTCATTGGCTACGCAAGTGAAGAAGCTTCACAATGGCAAGTTGTCGGAATCAAGCGTGGAGGAGTATGCCTCCAGGCAGGCTCCTACTGTTAATCGTTTGTATTGAAGGTTTTGGCCACCGGGACGTTGCAGCTTTTCGGTACTCAGCCCCCGAGGAGTTCCCATTCTCCCAAAGCACCTCCTCAAGCTGCCAAAAGAGTGAGAGGCTTCAACTTTGCCGAACCATCGACGCCGAATAATTAGCAATCAATATGAGTCCTTGGGGTTCCTAAGATTTCCTTGGAAATGTAGCCATGGGCCCAAGAGTTACTTCCGACGACGCAATGAGATCTTTGAATCTTTTCCTGTGCCCCGACTGAGCTTCTTACGGCAGGCTGCGTCGCTTCGGCCGCGCCAAACGATTTCGGACTCTGCAGACGGGTCATGTGTTCCGACACGCGTGAGGTTCGGCTTATGCTGCACGGCCTAGCCACGAAGACAAAACATCAGATCCGAGAACCACTCGGATTTTCGTCACTTTCAAACAGGATTCGAAGTGAGAAAAACTCGGTAGATTTTTGCGAGTCTTGATACTCCATCATCTCTTTCCAGCATCCAACTTTGTGGTCCATCTTCCACTGCGGGAGACCATGTAGGCTGGCCAAGAGCAAAATGGCGATGTTGGTGCGATTTTGAAGGCGGGCTGAAGGCTGAGGGCATGGAATGCACGATCTGTGTAGAAAACACGCAAAGCAAAAATAACACCCAGAACAGCAGATTTAGTTTTTTTTCTGGTTGACAATCTTTACAAACAAAGAACCGCACAAAAGTCTGCCAACAATTTTTTTGGAACAAACAAAAACAAAGGCATGTGGTGCAATACAACACTTCAAACAGGAGCAAGAGGCTTGAGATCAAGCCCTTCCCCCGGGCCAAGGGGAGACGGCTGAGGTTGGAAGGTTGAAAGGAGGCTTGAAGGCTTGAGAAGGGGCCTTCTGAAAGGAGCTTCAAGCTTCTCAGAGGGGCTTGAGAAGGGCTTCGAGGGGGACGGAAGAAGGCAGGTCTCAAGCGAAGAAGGAGGCGGTCCCTCTCACCCCCTTTGAAGCCCTTTGAGAAGCTTGCTCAAGCACTCTTCAAGCCCACCAAAAGCCACACGAAAGCGCTTTGGGGTCTCTCTCTCTCTCAGTCGCGCAGAGCAAGTCCACAAGTGAGACCACTCGTCAGCAGCCCTTTCAGCTGTTTAACGAACTAAAGCTAAATCGGCCCAAGATTTCCTATTCTGTGCGATAGGGCAAAGGGTACGCCAAAGATCTGTATTTCCAAAAAATCTGGAATGTAAGTCGGCCACCTCCCTCTCGG